ACTTGGCCCATGATGCAATTCACTCTTCTATGTATGAGCGGATGCGGTTTCAATAGAGGATAAACAAGAGTAGATGGGTGTACATGTCAAAAACCCAAAATGATGTAATGGGCCTGGCAAAATGGGCCCTGGGCCATGGCCACCACCACTAGCACCAGGCTGTAATATCCTTAGGACGAGCGAGCACTTACACCAGCATCAGGACATTGCTCCGTACCCCGGAAATTAATAGAGTTCGATAATGATGAAGTGAAGTTTAAGTACGGGCATGTAAAACGAGATTAAATTAGTTTTAATTATTTTAAATTTGAAAATAGATTTATCTAACGTTTTAAAGCTATAAAAAGTTTTCGTATGAAAAACACTATTTAATAGTTTGGAAAATATGCTACCAAAAACCGAGATAAAATTTGCACGTTAATAAATATTCCATCTGTTCCAAAATTTAAGCATTTTTGGATCATGACACGGTCTACGAGATGCTCCTTTGACCAATAATATCTATAAAAGTAAAATATTTTAAATAAAAAGAGTTACATATTGTTATAGTTTGTTTAATGATAAATCTAGTAACATTAATTTTACATGATTATTTTTTTTATTTTTTTGTTATTAGTGCTCAAAGTTAAAAATATTTGACTTGTCACTATGCTAAAAATATTTGTATTTTAGAACGGAGGGAGTACGAAATAACGGGACCGGCAAGCCCAAGAGAGAGAAAAGTGTGCTGTGTGGTCTCTCATCTCTGCATTCCAGGGACACTTGATCCCTTGCAGTTGGCTTTTGTTTCTGTCCTTTGCACGGCCACGGTGGCACGCTGCCTAGCTCATTGATTAAAATTTAGCTGCACAATCACTAGCTCACCCCTAATATAATTACCACTACTGTATAGTACCCCAAGTAGTACCGTTTCTTTCGCAGTTAATAGGACCAGGGGATGGATCCTTGGTAGGCTCTGTGACACTGACGTAAGAGAGATATCGTTGGATTCGTATTTAGAAGCATTTTATTGTACGTAAGATCATGGTTCTGTAGACATAAATGATCAGGGGACACCAACTTAAATTACTCTTCTTTTTATTGTTCATGTGTGTTGATGTGATCAGGTCCTTCGTGGAAATAGAAGTGGTACTATGAACAGGCTGCACGGTTCAATGGCTGCAATGCAATCGTTGCTGCTGCAGCTATAGACATGTACCTTTTTAGTGAAAAAAAGTTGGATATGCTCTTTCTAAATTATAAATTATAGTTTTATACGTGTTACGACCAGGAATTAAAAATCTCTCGTCTTTGGCATTTGTATCGGGGGTGCCAACATGAAGAAATTTCGAAAATTTTGCTCTGGAATTATATGAATTTTTTAACAGAATTTGAACAAATATTGCCAAATTCAAAAGAAAGGAAAATAAATATAAATTTCGGCTTAAATAATATTGTATTGGGGTCGGATTGAACCGAAATTCGTTCCAAAATTTCGAACCTTGGTTACAAGATGGCATTATAGCGGATACTTAATTAGTAATTATGTACTTGCGAATAATCTAATCCCTTAGTGCTATCGCAAAATATGTTTTTAGTGTCATTTGATCTCATATCTTTCACTCTTATTACTACAAATCAACCAACTTTAGATTTCTTGATTTCTATGGGCATGGACCCGCGCATTTTGAAGGATCAAGTTTGTTGGTTTTTTGTTGGACTTCTGGAGAGTTGCAGGTGCAGCAAGGACAAGAACACAAGAAATCATGTAAAATCCAAACTGAACAGTAACAGGCTAAGATGGATCTTACAATCTTCTACAGTTAGCAGCAACAGGGACAGGTCCTTTGCCTGCACTGATGAGCTATTTCATGCACAAGGCAATAAAAATCCCAAGATGCCCTTGGCATGCAGATGCAGTTTAGGCCTCTCTGCATGAAGGTAGTCAGGTACCCCTGCAAAGCATTCATGCACATAGTGCTTGCCTGTTCCAGTTTCATGAAAGTTTTACAAGGCACTATGTGAGAAAGGACACCTCAGTAAAATTACCCCTTCACCAGATGCTTCTGCCACCTGACCAAAAAAATAAAACATACCACATGGGCATCTTGTATTGTTTCTGAAGAAAAAATTGGGCTGTTTCAGTTTTTTTCTTTACTTATTTTTTTACATGTTCCAAATTCATATCTGCGAGAATATTCTAGCAACCCAAATTATTTGTGTTGAGTATCGTCTTAAACCATGTTAAAAGCGAGGGAAGATGTAAACTATTTGACAATACGTAACAAAATTTCCATATTCCAAACAAGGCCTCGTGCCTGTAAAATACAATAACTTGTTGATAATTGAAAAGAAGAAGAAATTACTCCATGTGTTCCGTTTAATTCACATTAAGCCTCGTTCATGTCATGATAAGTTGTTAAAGACATATGTGAAGCTCTCAGGATTCAGTGACGGATGCATAACTAGAATTATCAGGTGCCCAATATATATCTTACTAACATATAGGCCGGACAGACAGATCAACTAAATACTTTAATTATATATCAAGGTAATAGTTATAGAGATTGTAAATTGTACCGGATGTCCCTTTCACCATGTAGGCTCAACGTGGATCCACTCTGCTTGCTTGGATCAGTACAAGATTTGTAAGAAAGATATATTCCACGGTTATCTTATTCATTTCCCCTTCCAATCTGCAACGGTACACTGCAATACAGGCACCAGACATGTACGAAACAATCCTTAACTCTTTATTAATTAGCTGTAGAATTGAATTGCTGTGATCCAAAACCCAGAATATACCACAGATCAGGCACTGTGCATATTATGAACTTCAGAGTAATTTGCAGAATGCCTAGCTAATTACCAACTAATTTGCATCTGAGCTTATGTCCATGAGTTTAATTATTAGTCATACCAAAATGACATGAAACCCACTCAGAAGCAGATAACCTGGTGCTTTTTTTTTATTTTATGTTAGATCTATTGAAGTGTTAGATTCAATGGCTATAGGTGTTCCTTGCAACTTGCAAGGAAGGACCATCTACAAAACCATGGATTTTGTGGAAGTATATGACAAACTAAATCAACATCATCAAGCAACCTGCAGGTTTTTCTTTTCTTCTGTGTTTATCTGTTTGGTGACATCCTTTTTAGTTTCTTGACAACGAAAGAAATCCTTCTACTACACTCTTTAATTTGCCTCCTTGTTTTCCCAGGTACTATCATCTTGTTGCAATGCAATGCTAATACACCACAAAACAAAAGGAGAGGAGAAAAAAAAAGAAAGGGAAAAAGCTAAACATCTACACTTCTATTAAGCTGACAAGTGTTTGTGGCTTTGTGCATGAATGCAAAGGCTGTGCACTGCATCTTGCAGCATCACAATTCACGCATGTACTACCTAACGTGCTATTCTTTTTTTTTTCTATTACACGAAATACACATAGCCACGAACTACTATACATGTGTGTAAGTCTATAAGAGCACACCCTCTTAAAAACAAATACCGAATAGTTGAGACCAACGATAAATACCTGATCACACTAAACATATCTACCTACCGTGGTACTCTTTTTAACTTCCTTAGCGGTAGGCAGTAGCATGACGTATTGTACATTCATGGAAGAGAAGAGAACACTAACTCAATCAAGGGGGTGTTTAGATCCAGGCGTGTAAAATTCTGGCGTGTCACATCGGGTATTATATAGATGTTGCATGGGGTATTCGGGCACTAATAAAAAAACTAATTATATAATCCATCGCTAAACCGCGAGACAAATTTATTAAGCCTATATAATCCGTCATTAGCAAATGTTTACTGTAGCACCACATTGTCAAATCATGGAGCAATTAGGCTTAAAAGATTTGTCTCGTAAATAGTCTCAATCTATGCAATTAGTTATTTTTTAAGCATATATTTAATACTTAATGCAGGTGTTTAAATATTCGATGTGATAGGGGGTAAAATTTTTGTGTGGGAACTACGTGGGTCCAAACAAGCACAACCAACAGTCTCCTGGGTTACATATGTACAAGCCTATAACTACAACTACAACAAGGCTGTATGCAATTGCATGGATTTGCTAGCTGTTTTGAATGGTGGTTAAACTGGCCTATTTTGCCAGGTGTAACTGCATTTAGAGGTGATTTAATTTAATTTGCTCGCTGTTTGAATGTTGGCTTAAATTGGCCTTTTGTTTTGCCAGGTGTCACTGTATTTAGAGGCTCTAATGAGTCATGATTGTCAGATACATAGGATTTGTTTCTACTTAGCTGTGTGTGATGATGCATGCATGCCTATCTTGATTGGAAAACGCACAACCGGGTTGGATGCACGTACCCATCTTTCTATCTACTAGCTGTTGTGCAGGCTGGAGTGATAACTGAAAACTTTGAAACTTTTGTGAATTGCTTTGAGGAAGAAAAAAAAAGAAGAAAAAAAAAAGTCACTTTGAGGAAGCCACACGAGCACGGCAACAAGCTCTTTGAAACCATGGAAGCTAGCCTTTGTTTGCAGTTTTGTGCAACCCGATGGATGGATGCACTCACCTTCATGCAGATTGGAAAAAGAATTCATCTTTGGTACAATGTACTAGTCCTACCACTCCTACTTAACTAGAAATAAATAAAAGATGATGAGAATTGCCTATAGAAGAAAAAGAAAAGTAAAACCAAAAACCGTGCCATCTCCACAATAAAACTTAAAGCTTAATACATAATTGTACCTAAACGCAAAATAGACCTATTTGAACCGCCCGCCGCCGAATCATCCGACTACCGTAGACGCTACGCATATATTGTTTCTCGAACACTCCAGACGCGCCCCCGTCCAAACTACAACACATTTTCCATCACTAAATACCTCATCCCCCCTCCTAATCTTTTTTCCCTTTAGGTACACCAAAAGAAAAAAGAATATTGAAAACTCCAAAAACATAAAGGAAATAAAAAGGAAAATAAATCCTAGGGGCATAGATAGAGAGAGAAAAAAAAGGAGAGAGAAAGTGAGTGAGTGAGAGAGAGAGATTGAGATGCCAAATCATTTCCATGCGGATCTTGGAGGCGCCCACCCCGGCTACATAAGGTGCCGAGGCAGTGACACCACCACCCCACCCCCCACCACACTCACCAAGAACAAGAGCAGAGCAGAGGAGGAAGAGGAATCAGCCGCCATGGGCGAGGTGAGGACGAGCTCCTTCCTCCCTTCCCCGGCGAGCGCAAAGGCGAGTTCTTGCGCTGCAAAGGCGGAATCTTGATTGTTTTTTGGTGATGATGGTGATTGCAGGAGGAGAAGAAGGAGGCGGCGAAGGCCAAGGAGGAGGAGAAGCCCAAGCAGGAGGAGAAGCCCAAGGAGCAGGAGGAAGGCAAGAAGGAGGAGAAGCCCAAGGAGGAAGGGGAGAAGGGGAAGGACGGCGGCGGCGGCGAGGAGAAGAAGGACGGCGAGGCGGCTGCGGCGGCGGACGCTCCACCGCCGCCGCCGCCGCCGGAGGAGGTGGTGATGCGCGTCTACATGCACTGCGAGGGCTGCGCCAGGAAGGTCCGGAAGATCCTCAAGGGATTCGATGGTAATGCTCCTTTTCTAACCTCGCCTGATTATGTTCTACATTGATGATTGATGCTGTGTTCTTTGCTCCCCTTTTTTTTTTGTTGGGTCGGATTAATCTTTCATGTTCAGTGTCATGTGTGTGTGTGTTCTTGTCTGTGATGTGTGAAATTCTAGTGTTTAATCTGGGCATATGATGTCTGAACATTTTAGGTGGAAATTTTCTTTCAGGGAATGAGAACTCCTTTTTTTTTCTTTTTCTGTTTGTTGGAACTTGTGTTTTCGTTTGGGAATGGAAGCTGGGAAAAAAAAAGAAAGTCTGTTCGTTCATCAGGTCCGAGAGGCATGATGTGCTTAGCAAATTGGTTATAAAAAAAAATTAACTGAAGACTGTGGGTTTTCTCTGTGTGCTGATCTGTGTGGTTCAAGATATATTCTAAGGTTGTTTTCAGAAGAATTCATGTGGTTTCATGGTGGGATTTGGAGGGGAGGTTAGGTGGGGGTAAGCTTTTAAATAATCAGATTCACCTAGTCAATCAACTTCAGATCTTTCTTTTTCAAGAGCCGCACATGAATCCACCCAGTTGATTAATGGTTTAAGAGAATGACTAGAGATCCGAATAACTTTTAACTCGGGAAAGTTGGAGTAGATTCCAAGAGAATGACAGCCTTGAGTATCATGTCCTTCAGTGTTTTGTTCTAAAAAAGCCCAAAAGTGAACCTGATTCCCCAATCATCTTCAGATGCTCAAGATGTTGCAAGTATATCTCTGCATATTCTCCATGTCTTACTACTAGTAGTTGCTATCAAGGGAAATTCAGGATTCTTTTAGCTCAAAAGACTCAGTTTTCATGGGTGTAGCGGTATCGATTCCGCATCCAAAAACTAAAATATATGTTCTTGTGTGTAATGTAGGAGTGGAGGATGTGATCGCCGACTCGAAGGCGCACAAGGTGTTGGTGAAAGGGAAGAAGGCGGCTGCAGACCCGATGAAGGTGGTGGAGCGAGTTCAGAAGAAGACCGGCCGGAAGGTGGAGCTCCTGTCGCCGATGCCTCCTCCACCGGAGGAGAAGAAGGAAGAGGAGAAGAAAGAGGAACCTGAGCCTCCAAAGCCTGAGGAGAAGAAGGAGGTGAATGATCCTAGCAAGTGCTCATAGAGACATAATTACCCTTCATGCATTTTCCTGCACTTTCCATCACCAAATCGGCGGTAATTGCGCCAATTTTGCTTGAACTGTGTAGTTCAAATACTGACATAAGGATATCTCTGTCTCTGTTTGATTTTGAAGCCGCCGGTGATCGCGGTTGTGCTGAAGGTGCACATGCATTGTGAGGCCTGTGCTCAGGGGATCAGGAAGAGGATCCTCAAGATGAAAGGTACTTAATAGCATACATCAAATTTCTAGTACTTTCCATTTCTACTTTTTTTTTAAAAAAAATATCAGCACAAAAGTCAGATGTTTTTCTTCTTTTTTACAGAGTTACACTAGCTTCAGTAGCAATTAGTTTGCTAAAATATATGTTTGATGAATCATAATGTGGCCTGTGATTTAGCAATCTCAAGCGTATCTTGTTCTCTGATGCGGTGATAAAGAGGAGGTACTGGAATCCTCTTTTTAGTGAATGACACAAATTAAAGCCAAAATGTGGGCCTTGTACCTGTAGCTTTTTTTCTTGCGAAAGTTGCATTTTTCCCCCTGAGATAAGATTCATTCCTTCAACTACTTGTCTGACTACAAATTAAATAAAGATCATTTGGATTGTTCAAAAGATATTCTACTCAGCATCACATGAGTCTAGTGTCAGGATCAATGATACTTCTGAATAACCAAATAACTCTCTTTCAAATGTATATATGCAGGGGTACAATCAGCTGAGCCTGACCTGAAGGCGTCGGAGGTAACCGTGAAGGGTGTGTTTGAGGAGGCCAAGCTGGCCGAGTACGTGCACAAGCGCACCGGCAAGCACGCTGCCATCATCAAGTCTGAACCGGTAGCCCCTCCCGAGAAGGTGGCAGCCGAAGGTGGCGATGAGAAGAAGGCAGCCGAAGGCGGCGATGAGAAGAAGGACGAGAAGGAGGAGAAGAAGGATGGAAAAGAGGAAGGTGGCAATGGTGGCGGAGATGAGAAGAAGGAAGAGAAGGAGAAGGAGAAGGAGGGTGGCAATGCCGATGGCGAGGAGAAGGACAAGGACAAAGAGAAAGACCCCGCCGCCATTGCCGCCGCGAACCTATACCTGCATTATCCAAGGTTCGCATTCCCTGCCGGATACTACCCGCCCGGGCCGGGTTATGCCTACCCACCGCCCTACCCTCCATCCTACCCGCCACCATACCAGCCATCCTACCCGCCATACCCGTCGCACCCTTCGCACCACCCGTCGCAGATCTTCAGCGACGAAAACCCGAATGCCTGCTCTGTCATGTAAAAAGTTTTAGAACCTGGGGGATCTAGAGTGAAAAAGAATAAGAAGAGCACAGGACTGCATAATTTGGAGGGTGTCATTGCAACAATTGCCCTTTGAGCAAAGCAAAGCTAAAATGGCAGCTTGAAGAAAGTACCAGGCTTTTTTGGGGGTTAGGTTTCTTTTTAACTTTCTTTTGTAATTTTAACCCTTTTCTTTCATCTGGTATAAACTACAAAGCAAGTCTGGACTTCCTTGTCAGTTTATGGATGCTATCTTATGTAGAATTTTGCTCTCTGTACTGTTTCACCTTCAAACTAATGTAAAAACTGTACTATACTAGTATAATTTTTAGGTGTACCTTTGGTTCCCTGTCCTAATGGGCTCCATTTTTACTCATGAAACCTGAAACCTGAAGTATTATGGTGGTGAAAAAGGAGGATTTCACTGAGGGTAAATGGTGTGAAGTTTCTGGAGTGATGATGCCATGATGGTGAAATTGCAAAAGGTAGTAGTAGGAGACAAGTGCTTGTCATGTGCATGTGTCATGTGATGGGTCCATTTTTTGCATGACACAAAATCCTAGGTGGATTGCAACTTGAAATTTTTGATGCTCTCCCTATTTTTGCCCCAAGAGTAGCCCAATTGCTTTGGAGTTTGCTGTGAATGTGTGACTGTGAGAGAATGCCTCAGCCTTTCCCATCATGACAGCATGAAGTGTTGTGACTTCCATCAGGGTCATTGGCAATATGATGAAGTCACCTGTTCCTTGTGATTCCTTTGTACTGTCACCGGCCTACTGTTAGTGGATATGTGTCTGCTTTCAGGTAAATTTGCTACTAGCACTACTACTTTATCACCACACTGATTCCATTTTTAATCCCCTTCATCAAGTGGGTTGATGATGACAAAATTGCACCCCCAAGAATTGAAAGGCATGTGGTGCATTTGCAGCTAGCTGGTGAAGGGGGAGACTCAGAAACAGTATCAGATACTCCCAACTTTAAGTTCAATAATTTTGTAGCTCTTCATTTGGTATATTTGCATGGATGTCCTCTCAAGAATCCCACGGTGACTGTGACGCCGACGTAGATAAACTCGGTCTTATTCTGAATCGGAATTTCACACCAAATAGTTCAATTCACATGGGGAACTAGAAAAAAAAATACTTCTCATGTCTCAATATGGCCTTCGTGTTTATAACAGAATTCCTATTTCGAGCGCACCTAATTAATATCGAGCGATATATATATATATATTCAATGTTATGGTCAATTATAGAATGGAATATATGAAGAAAACCTAGTGATATGGTGGGTGGTGACTAGGATGGAGAATGGCCAAATGGGGGCAGCAGTTGGTTCCTGCATCCACATCATCTAATGCTTGCTGCCTACATAACTTAACTGAACTCCTCACAACCCCCATCATTTCTTAATTAAACGACCAACTTGCATATGCTTTTTTCTCTGACAAAACAGTGGCATTAATCCCTGATGCCCCCACACTAATCAAAAGCACATTGCACGCCCAGGAGCCACTAATCTACACAGTGCAAACACATGCAAACCACTGCATTATGTTTGCTTGCTTCCCAGCTTAGTAGTAGCAGCCTTTTTGGGATCCTAATTCAGTGAGCTAAGCTAGCTTACACTGTTACACTGTAAAATCCAAGTGAGGACATGCAATGCCATGTGCAGATAACTGGTCTTGTCTCACTGTACTGGCCTGGGAATTGAATGTGGCATCACATGGTGAAGCAAACAAAATTAGGGCAGATTGAAAGCATGTAAAAAAACAGGCAGTCAGGGCAGCTAGGGGTTTTTTGAATTTTCTTTTTGGAAGAGTTTTCATCATCCTGTTTGCAGATGAACTGGCACATGCATGGTTTTTAATTTGAAATCATTGCTAGGTACAAAAAGGTTTTAATGAGAATGGTGGGGGGCCAATGAATGTGGGCATGTTTCAAGTGTACCAGCAAACAAGCAGGATAATATGTGGATTCAAAAAACTGCATGGATGCACACTGATTTGTTTACATGTGGAGGTTATATGGATGGTCCCCAAAAAACAAAAGGCCCTGCCATTTTGAAATGAATACATTCTGCCCACAAGATGATCTGGTTTGACAGAATCTAGGATCTGATCTTGTTTTGTTTTAAAACTAATTATTTGGGGAGCAACAGATCTGTTGCTAAAAGATTTTAGCTTTATATGGCACTTAAGTGAGCAAGACATGGCCAACCCAAAGGAATTAGTAAGGGGTTGTTTAAATTATAATCAAAATAAACCTTACCAAATTTTGGGAATGTCAAAATATTGGCAATTTGACAATATTGCTAAGTTTTGACAGAATTTCTTATGTATTTACCAAAGTTTGGTAAAAAAAATTAAATGGATGCACATCTTTAGTAACTTTAAAAAAAATTAGTATGATTTACCAGAAATTTCTTCGGAGTATTTTGTTAACCTATTTCATTTTTTTAAAAAAAAAACCCCTTAAATGACCTCTCTTTTTTTTAGATAAAAACTTTTTAGTCTCTCACCACCTTGGGTGGCAACATATTAATGAACCCCAACACGTACGTGAGAGACTACATATAGCAAGAATTTGGTGAAGTAACCCTGGATTATTACAACTCTGCATTCATGCCACTCAACCATAACAGTGGACTACAATTAATTTACAGTGGAAGCAGTGACAAATTAAAACATACTTTTGACTAAAAAAAGTTTTGAGTGGCGAAACGAAACGAGAGAGAAACTTTTTTAGTAGCAGAAGATAATGAACAGCATGCATGTTCAGTGGTCCAAACAAGAGAAACACACATAAAAGTGATGCCTTTGCGTTGCTCGAGTCAACGTAGACACTAGAGAGCCCTAGAGGCTGATGCTGGGATTAACACAAAGGTACAATTAAGAAACAACTTTTTCTCTATTAGCCCCTAAAAGCGCAAAGGTTGATTGGGTGAATATATATTCATAATTCACCCCAGAATTAAAGTCATGCATTAAAAAAAAGACGTAAATATTAGAGAATGATCTAATATCAAATAATTATGAGGGGTGAGGCTTTGAAGGCAGGCCATCTAGCCCACCACCTTGTGGAGCTAGCCGAAAAATCCGTGGGCATATCTCACAACTTCACTACGGCACAATCTTTTATCCTATTGTTTTTATTATATATTTTGATGTCTAATACTCCCTCCTTCCCTAAATGTTTGACGCCGTTGACTTTTTTAAACATGTTTAACCATTCGTCTTATTCAAAATTTTTTATAAAATGTGTAAAACTATATGTATACATAAAAGTATATTTAACAATAAATCAAATGATAGAAAAAGAATTAATAATTACTTAAATTTTTCAAATAAGACGAACGGTCAAACATTTTTTAAAAAGTGAGTATATAAACAAACTGAATGCATGTGAGTCCCACTAAAACGACCAACATCTCAACCGTCGTCCTTGTCCATCCATGATCCATATATAATGCATCCAATCAAAACCATACTAATTAGCAGAAGTAACCACTAGCTTATGTAGGATCTGGCATTCTAGCTGGAAGACAGATTCAATTCACAGTGGTCCCAATAAAAACAGTACAGTACACCCCAACTAATCTACAAGTACTGCTTTCACGTAAGCTCAAGCTAGGAATTCCACTTTTGCGTGTAATGTCAATTTCATTCTGGATTACATTCTGGCGTGGCTTTTGAAATGGAGGTTTCATTTGCGGATCCAAGGCCCTGAGACCCTGGGTGACCAACACTGTGCTCACCGGCGGATCACACTTCTAAAGGATTCTTTTTTTAAGACCCTTATGAATCGCGGAAATGAAAATTAGAGGAATAGAAAAAACACGAGATTCTAATAGGAATATAAATACAAAACAGATAATTATGAAAAAAAACACAGGAATGGCCGTTTGATTTAGTCGTAGAAAAAACACAGGAATCGGATGAGAGAGAGACTCAAAGGAAATTTTTCAAAATGTTGGAGCTCTTGCTAAGTTCTTTAAAAATCTTTATAGGATTGTCTATTCAATAGGAATTTAGGAATTTCAAAGGATAGGATAGTTCTTCATAGGATTTTTTTCTATAGAATTGAAATCATCCAAAATTATTATATTTTCCTACAAATCAAAGTGATCCTGAGCAATTAATGATATCTCTAATTGTTTGCACGTATGCTTGTTCAGGCTCTAATAATTTTCTAGATCTACTACTAAATGAAACATTTCAGTACTAATTTATATCCATACCATTTTATTTATCAAATTTCATTTGTAACGGTGCTAGAAAATATAGCAATCAGATCAAATAGGATATATACATATGACTTCATACCTCAAACATAATTTAAGACTTTAACACGACAACATGCATGTAGCTTAATTAATTCTGAACAGAGTTGATAATACCAAAAGAGTAGTACAATAAATCTTAATCGTTCTTTTTATATATAAAAAGCTTTATTGATATTAGACAAATACATTTAGATGATAAAATTGCATTAAAATCTTCGTCATTCTAATAAGTATTGAAAAAAAAAACAAGTACTACGTACAATTTGTAAGTCATTGGTGAAACAACTATTATGCACACTATTTCAACCATAGATGAAGATCTTTGTCTTTAGAGTGGTATTCTTACTAGTTTTCTTTTTTTATTAAGCTGTATTTTTTTAATTCATAGTTATTTGTCACGTAAAATCTGCAATAATGGTTGTAGTTCTTTGAAATAAAAGCCAAAATAAATTTTATTATTAAAAAATGACCGAAAAGATCATTATTATACTAGTAGTATTGAAACGGAACAGTAAGCCGCTTGTTGCACTCTATTTTTGGTGTAACAGAAGGTGTTATATACTCCCTCCATCCCAAAATGTTTGACGCCGTTGACTTTTTAAAAAATATTTGACCGTTCGTTTTATTAAAAAAATTTAAGTAATTATTAATTCTTTTTCTATCATTTAATTTATTATTAAATATATTTTTATGTACACATATAGTTTTACACATTTTACAAATTTTTTTGAATAAGACGAACGGTCAAACATATTTAAAAAAGTCAACGATGTCAAACATTTAAGGAAGGAGGGAGTAATACATAGTACTGGTTAGGCTACTACGTACCGAATAAAATTGATAAGGCTGCTTTCACATTGCATATTTTCAACCATGAACTCACTTTTTATATGCACCATTTTACCCTCGGAGAAAACACAAGACAGAAGGACAAACACAAACTAGTTTAACTCACCTATTAATTAGACTTTTTCTTTTCTTTTACATCCCTTGTTTTCATGTATTGATGCATGTAGCTTTACCTTATTACGGAATAGCTCCCCTTCTCTTGGATGAGTCATGAATTG